CAACATTGACTTAAACCCATAAAAGCTAAGCAATATTTAAAGTATTAAGTAAACTTAATTCAAAAGAACACCGAAACGTATTTGTAACATTTTAAATGATAAACAATAAAATTGACTAGAACCCAGGAATTTCTTTTGATATAAGCAATATTTAAATTAAATGATATTGTAACGAAAATGGCCTGGGGTACTCACGTTTGAAATGGAGGGATCAAAATTCATGGTACAACATGACACTGACAAGTGGGAAGTTTTGCACCTGTTCTGGAGATTTCGAGAACCATCGGCGAGGAGAACCAGACAGAGGAGTGAAGTGACAGGAGCGACCGGGAGCAGAAGAGGTTGAACCCCGTGAGTCGGAAGAGCGAGTTTTCCGTCGGTTATTGTTATTGTTTGTGAAGTTGTCTGTAATTTTGAAGTTAGTTTGTTGCTGTTCCGCATTTAAAGTTCCAAAGGCCATCCACGGTACAATATCGATATTGATAGTGCCCGTTTTTTTTCAAAAATTTATTTTTATCTGACAATAAGCACTCCAATTACGTGTCATGGTGAGATCAAGTAAGAGATTAAGCAAATGATGAGAAAAATAATGGGAAAATATATTATGAGAATACACCAATGAAGCACTAATTTTGAAAAAAACCGTATCTAAATTCCTCATTTTAATTGACCTGAAATTTATTTTACCACTAACCACAGTAATGAACACATCAACATTTAATGTCTCAAACTTTCTGGTAAAATGTGTCCGATAAATTCTAAACAATAACTTCGTTGGCCATCAAACTCCTAATTAAACATGAGCGATAAATATTCCAAAACACATATTTACAATGCCCGCAGTTATAAAACCCTCTTCGAAAATTAGTTTGAGTTGCCTTAATTAAAGCCAAAATTTAGAAAGCCGCATTTTCATCATTCATTTTGCTGGCAGGTCCCCTGTTCATACGCAATATAAATTTGGGTCAATTTATTTTGGACTCATTAAATTAACGATTTTACTATACAGCGTAAAAACAAGCAACTTTTGCTATCAACTATTTCATCACTTTTTATCCATCAGCTACTTAAGGTAACTGAAACAATAAGGCAACTTGTATTTTAAAAAATTAACTGTTTTTTGTTTTATCTGAAATTCGTGTCGGTTATCTCTTTAAGCCAAGATTTGATACGGTTTGGAATCAAAGAGCTAATTACATAATGGCAGTTAATGCTATTACAGCTGAACCGACTTATACACTATAATAAATCAAATTGTTTTAGGATAAAAAATCGCAAAAATTAATATATATTTTTTATTACTTTCTTCTATTTACAATCGGTTTAAATAATAAACTATAAGTAAATGCCATGTTAAAATGAAACGAAAAGTCATGTAGAGAATATTCCAGCAAACATTTCTCTCTCTTAATCAACTAACTTAAATATTCAGTTGCCCATTCCTATCATTGCACTGCATATTGTATATTGTATCTGTATATTCAAACATTAAATCTATCCATTAAGTTCACCGGCGCACTTCACCGGTATTGTCAAGAAGTTGATTAGCAAGCACGTTGGGGTGCACCTGTAGTCTGGCTTCATATTTTTGACAGTATCTCTTCACTTCGCTTTTGACCCATGGTATATTCAAGTCAGTTGCTGTGATTTTGTTTGGGTCGTAGCACGGGGCGTTGGTCACCATGCGAAGGACTTTGTTCTGGAATCTCGGTAGGATTTCTAGATTGGAGTTGCTGGCTGTTCCCCACTGCTGTATGCCGTATGTCCATATGGGTTTTAAGATAGTTTTATAGATAAGCAGTTTATTTTGCAGTGATAGTGATCTGATGTCGTTTAAGGCCAAGTTGTTTCCCCTTTGTGAAGACATGTTTCTGCCATGTTAGCCTTTTGTCCAGAAGTAATCCGAGGTACTTTGCACTTTCTTGTTGTGTTAGTTGGGAATTGTTGAGAAAGGCCGGTGGGCATACCTCTCGTTTCATTGAGTATGTGACATGTACACTTTTGCTTTCACTGGCTTTGATCTTCCATCTTCTGATCTATGTCTGGATTTTATTCAAGTTGTTCGGCAAATTCTCTGATGCTTTTCTAGCGCTAGTGTGTGATGCCAGTACTGCTGTATCATCAGCGAAAGTTGCGACTGTTGTCAATCTGGTAGTCGGTATATCTGCTGTAAAGATCAGATAGAGTATGGGTCCCAACAGACTTCCCTGTGGTACTCTAGAATTTATGGCGTATAAATCTGAATATGCATCTTGGTGCCTGACTAAGAAGTGTCTGTCTAAGAGGTATGCAGGTAATAGTTGTTGGTGGAATGGAAGAGGTAAGTATTTCTGTAGTTTGCAGCACAACCCGTCGTGTCAGACCTTGTCAAAGGACTGAACTATGTAGTCATCGTATGTTCGAGGTCTTGATTGATTTGCTTCACCAATCTGTTGATATGTTCAATAGTTCCGTGCTTGTTCCGAAAACCAAATTGATGGTTGCGTACGAGCTTTCCCTTCAACAGGATTGGTTCAAGGCGCTTGAGAAACAGCTTTTCGAACAGTTTTGATATTATGAGCAGTAGACTAATAGGCCTGCAGGCTGTTGGTTCGTTCGTGTTTTTGCCTGGTTTGTGTGGCATAATAATTTCTGCTACCTTCCATTGTCACGGGAGATATCCTTGGAAGACCATGGCGTTAAAGATTTGTAGTATTGCTGTGAAACCTTTCTACTTAGCTTCTGAAAATCCGTCCAGTTATCAGGTCATATCTGGGGTCTTGTTTAGCGCTGATACTTCTCATGATTACTGATTTAGCTTCGTTATATGTCAGTTTTTGCACTGGTATGTCCATCTGGTATAGTTCTTTAAGCAGGTATTGTTTTATCAGTTTCTTCTGTTTCTTCTTAAGTCAGTACTAGATCGTGGGGTTTGAAAACTGATGAGAGGTGTTGTGCAAATGCAAAAACTTTTTCCTGATTGCTTCTGGCCAATTTTCCATTCGCGGCTCTCAAAGGAGGTACCGGTTGTTGTGGTCTCAGTTTTTTCGTTGCTCGCCAGAGAGAGTAGTTTGTTGCTTCGGTGGGTGACAAACCTTCTAAATAGTTTTGGACTGACTGATTTCTTGGTCTTTCGAGTAAGTTTTCTAGGCTCGACCGCTCTATTGAATTTTTCTTTATCTACCTTCAATCCGGTTTGTTGCCACCTCTTCCTCAGTCTTCTTTTTTCTGCTATCTTATCCCGTATTGATTTTGGGCATTGATCTCTGGCTTCGTCTTCTTTTCGGTCCGGTGTTGCTGTCCAAGATGCAGTTTGAATGGATACTTCTAATTTTTTCACGGCTGCCTCGATTTTATCTGGCGTTTTGAGAGGGATTCTGAGATCGATTCTTTGGTGAAGTGTTTCTTGGGCAAACTCCCAGTTAGTTTTGTAATTACATAGGGTAGGTTGTTTCTTTTTTTAGGCTATGCGTGAATACATTGTTACTACTGCTGGAGTGTGGTCAGAGGACACATCTAAACTTGCTTCGATGGTAAGGTGTTTCGTATCGTTTCGTATTGCGTCTGGCATCTTGGTTTTATCTGTTGGCCAATATGTTGGTTCACCAGTCGACAGGTGCTGCAAATTGTTGGAGTTCATTGTGGCCAGTAGCTCTCCTCCTTTTGTTATGAGTCTAGATCCCTCCATTGTTCGTACTTTGCATTTGTTACCCAGAGTTTTAAAGTACTTCTCGTAATCCTTCCTTTTGTTGCTATGTTTTGGGGGACAAGAGACAGCAGAGACAGCGATATTTACTGACGCCATTTGAAGGGCAACGGTTGTTGCTTGTAGATTTCCTTCCCTATAGAGTTGTAGTTCGTGATGTTGTATATTGCTGCGTATAATTACAGCAGTTCTCCAGTGTGCAGTTCCATCTGGGTGGTTTGTACTAAGGCTCGGAATCAAGCTCGAATAACTCGAGTATTCGAGTATTCGAATAGTCAAAAAGCAAATAATTATGTCTAGTCATAACTCGAATATTCGAATACTCGAATACTCGAATATTCGATTACTCGAATACTCGAATACACCAGCATTACCAAACTCACAAGGTGCAAATATCTTTATATGCACTTTGTATACTTTTATAAAATAAATTATTCATTTTCTACAAGCATTTAAACAAATACTCATATATTTACAAGCAAATGAAAATAACCATTTATCCTCCTGCAAATGAATATAAAATTACGTGTCTGTGTTCTGGTGACTCGCGTCATCAACTTTTGCGCGGTGTTACAATTAATGTGCAGACAAAGGCACTTTTTTATCCGTTGCGACTAGTTACCAAAAATGATATGAGATAACGATTTTTCTTCTTGGAAAACCGTGAACGGAAAACGAATACTCGAATATTCGAATACTCGAGTATTCAAATACTCTAATACTCGAATATTCGAATATTTGAATACTCGATTATTAGAGTATTCGAATAATTTTACTATTCGAATAAACTACTAAACTAGTAAGCGAATTTCAGGTTTTTAAAAATTCCGAGCCCTAGTTTGTAGAATTCTCAATATCTATATTGTATTTAGGAACTTTCATAAAATTTTTACTGGTAAAATGGGTTCCTGCAACGAGCATCATATCTAAGTTGTTATTAAGTATATAAAAAAATTAATATGACAAAATTAATAACTTTTAAAGAAAATTTTTAATAAAACCTAGAAAAAATAAACACCTTTGCAGTAAAAGAATTTTCGTTTCTGTTATAAATAAAGCCTTTTATAAATTCCCACTATCGCATCGTATTTTATGAGCACAATAATTTCAATTATAAGAAAGTTATTGTTCGTGTGGGAAATTAATAACTGCAGGTCTCGACGTGTCCCGGAGGCGCCATTCGGTAAGCTAGAGGATATTAAAATAACGTTGCTATATTACCTACTTTCTGGTAAATTGTTCAGCACTTTGCTAAACTAATAATTTCGAAACAACGCGAGTCAGGTACAATCTATTGTTCGTAACTCTTACATTTTCGTCCATATAAGTGAATGCATCAAAAGCACTAAACAGACTCATTTTGCCCATGTCATAGTGGCATGTTTGGTATACTTCAAAAATTGGGACAATGTCGAGAAAATCTGAAAATAGTGCAGCTGGCAGTGCTGGAGATGTAGAGTTACTTTCTTCACTTGAAAGTAGCCCCAGGAAATTAGCAGGTGAACATATCTATATTATTCCGGCGTATAGGTCTATAAGTGATCTTTTCTTATATTTCCTTACTACGTTTTTAGATCTCGGGACCACAGGACCTTTCGGAGACTTTTCTACCGATTATTCAAGCTGCTTTATTCTAAAGGTCAATAATGAATGGTTGTCAACAGAAGAAGAACATGATGACGAAGAAAGTGGTGCACTTAGAAAGGAATACCTGCTTAGACTGAAACTGATCAGAGAGAAACTAGCGGGTATTGATATAGCAAACAAGAATTACTACAATAACTGTTTCGGATATCCACCGCACGATACAACCCAATGTCGAATAACTGAAATATTTGACAATGACGAAAACACCAAGCCAAGCCCTAATCGATATGGAAGCAGTGGAAAATCTAATGAAAAATCTGTTTCTGTTGAAAACGTCACATATGAAAACGAATCGTTAAAAATTCCAAAAGAAAACTCCATTTTGGCTGCTGATGGCAACCATTTATTCCAAAATGGCTTTCCAAATTTTAAATCTAAAACCATGACAAACCTGGACCAGGATTCAGAAAACAACTTTCAAATAGATATTGGGGTCAGTATGCCACCCCATATAACGGACACGCTCAAAGGATCAGAATTAGATATAAAATCAATATTTAGCTATGACTGTTTAATGAAACATGATCAATGTTCAGCGACTGAATTATTGGACTTAAACTATAATCCCCCGAAGAAAAGACCGTGCGTAAGGGAAAGCACTCCGAAATTAGTGCTTTCCGAAGGAACCATTCCATTGCCATATCATATTAGAGTAAGTTTGCATGAAGACATATCGAAGGCAGTTAAACAAGCATCGAATGAATGTAACCTACATAAAAGAATACAAGGGATGATTGATCACAGCGTTGAAAAAGTTAAAGAGGAGGAAGCAATGAGAAACGAGGAAAATTTAACTGAAAACTCGAAGATAAACGGTAAGTACATTTAGCACGCAGGTACTTGTAGCAATATTCTATTCTGGTTCTTTCCCGAGCTATATATTTCTAAACATTTTTAGCTAGCCTGATAATGCAGTTAAAAACCTGTACCTAAATGATTAAGTTTACACGGTTTTATATAATTCTAGATGTTATTGTCATATATTATATTTTTACAGTAATACCCCCAAAGAGTACGAACGAGTCGACTGAAGAATTCACTGAAAACTTGCCGCAAAACGGTAAGTAGATTTAATTCAAAAGTATTTTTGAAAATATCTTATTTGTAATTTTTCCGCAACTGGGCATTAGTTAAATGACTATAAACTGCTAGCACGTTGAAAAAACAGCAAACCATTACATTAACCTTTTTGGTATGATTTAACCTAGTTCTTTCTCTCTTTCGGTTTTTTATTAGGTGTACAAAAGAGATCCAAGAAATCGACTGGTAATGACAATACGTACGTTCTACTTCTGGATACATTGACCCAATCCTCGTCAGCCAGCCCAAAAAGTAACGTAACTTTAATGACTGGGACAACTGCTACAGTAGAAAGTCTCTCACGTCTGCGCAAAAAGAGAAGAATATTTTTGCGAACTGCTAGAAATAAGGTAGGTTTATTATACAGTATGTTTCGTAACCAAACGATGAAACGGGCTTCGCAACATTCTTCTTCGTCATCTTAAGCGCTCGGTGCACCGATTATCAAGCATAGGCCTGCCTCCTTCAGATCTTTCCACATGCCACAATTTTGCGCCACTGTTATCCGTGGTACGCCGGCCACTTTTTATGTTGTCATACCATCTCATTATTAATCTGCTTCAGTGGTGTTATTCTGCCCATAGTCTACATTGCCTAATTTCAGTGTTCCATCTGTTGTCTCTTGTCTGTGCTGTATGTCCTGCATTAATTTGATCTTCTCACTACATCACATCGGCGACTTTAGTTCTGTGTCTTGTCCATATGTTTATCTTTTTACCTCTTAGTGTGATGCCTATCTTTTCTCTCTGTATTGACCTCTGAGTGACTTCCAGTTTTGTTTTTAGTTGTTTTGTCAAACTCCATGTCTGCACGCCATAGGTCAATACAGGAAATATACATTGAGCAAATACCCCGGATCCTAAAGGTTGGCGTTAGGGTTTATTAAAAAATCGACATTTTAGAAAACCGGTTTTCGAATAGTAATATTTCCAGGAAACCGGTTTCGAATTTACATAAAAAAAATTTTTGCTCGAATATTTTGTAATTCGAACAAAAAAAAACAGAAAATTTAGTGATTAAAAGCATTTTGTGACTGAAATTATTTACTGTTCAATTTTATTATTAGTATATTTTTTAATGCAATTTTAAACAATTATTCGTTGTTTATGTATAATTTTCACATATAAGGATGTAAATATTTTTATAATAGTGAAACGGGTTATTCAGCAAAGGGATCGAATAAATAAAAACAATATATTTTCATATTTTTATAATAACCATATTTTTTTTAAAACAATGTTATTAGATGCAATTGGATACTTATTAAAAACAATTAGAAAATATGTAACTGCGTATTATATAATGTAAATTATAATGAAAGCCGAAAGACAAGAGTACTTATTAAAATCAATTTTTGTTTTAAAGACAATTAAGCAAAGGACCGAGTATTTTCTATTCCGGGCAATTTTAATACAAATTTAAATATTCTATTAATTTTTTTGTTTAATAAAATATGATTTCAGGAAACAGAGGACGTCTATCAATTTACTATTTAGCCGCGTCCTTAGTTTATTCGAAAAATTCCCCGAAATAGAAAATACCCTCTCACTTGCAGCCGAACTAGGCTTAATCGATTTTAAAGCCAGATATAATAATTCTAAATTTTTTGTCCATTTTTCAATAAAACATTGTCTGGCTCTTGAATATAGTTTTCATCACGTTTTTGAATATCACATTCTTCCCCTGTAGAGTAATCTTTATATAATCTTGAAAATACACTTGCGTGCATCGAAATCGGCCCACAGTAAACTTTTGACTTTAACTATATACATTTTTTTAAATTATCCATCAGATCAAAAAAATAAATATGCTGTTTTAAAGACAATTCAATATGCTTTAATGTGAGTATAAATTATTGTGAGTATCCTATGTATAACATAGTGAAATTAATGCATTATGCAAATTAAGCTTTTTTATTATAACATAAATAGGGTTATTGACAATTTAAAACTTAACACTTAATTTTTTAATAATAGGTATGACCTCCTATTTCCCTAATAACTTCTGTCATACGATTAGGCATAGATCTAATCAAGTTTGCTATTGTTTCTTGAGGGATGTTAAACCACTCTTCTTCTACTGCAACAATAAGCTCTGGGATCGAGTTTGGGGTTTTAGTTTAGGTTAGTCTAGGTTAGAGGTTTAGGTCAGTGATTGGTGGATATGCTGGCCACTCCATAACCCGAAAACCGACTTCTGTAATGTAATCTTGCACGATTCTTGCGGTGTGCGCCCTGGCATTGTCATGCATAAATGTAAATTTGTCTCCAATGTAGTCGACGTAAGGTACCACATGAATTGCCAAAATCTCCTCGATATATCTAACAGCCGTCAAACCTCTTCTTCCATGAACACGGTCGCCCCTGCGAATGAACTCAGGGTCGGTTCGTGCTCCTATAGAAATTGCACCCCAGATCATACAGGAACCACCTCCATAAGGACTCCGCTCTTCAAAGCAGCAATCTGCAAATCGCTCTCTTGGTCCTCGGTACACTTTCCTTCTTCGGTCGCTACCACGGAGGCATATTCTGGTCTCATCTGAGAACAGAACAGATCTCCATTGTTCCAGCGTCCAATTCAGATGACCTCGTGCAAAACAAAGGCGTGCTTGCCGATAAGCTAGAGTAAGTTGTGGATCAATCGCAGATGTTTTAGGGGTTAGGTTATTTTCGTGCAGTCTTCGTCTTACCGTCCACTGACTAATACCCACTCCTCGCACCTCACGGAGCTGTCGTTGCACTTGAACGGCATTAAGGTGACGATCTCTTAATAGGGTTGACACAATAAACCGGTCATCACGAACGGTTGTAAATCGCCTTCTGCCTGTTCCAGGTCGCCTATGAAAGAATCCAGTCTCCTCATAACGTTTGCACACTCTTCGAACCGCTGCGTGTGTTGTCCAATTGTCTAGCAACAACTCGCTGACGCTGAAATCCATTTTCGATTAAAGCAAGAACTTGGCCGGGTTTTTGTGGTGTAGTATGCATAAAACTAACACACTTAAACACTATTAAGATTACGAAAAACGAATTAATATGCAAATTTCAGTTGCAAACTAATTTTAGTATTTGACAATTTTTTTATTTTCGTTACAATCACCACATAAACACGTTTCATTTGCTTACCGGTTGCTACGCATAATTTTGTTTCTGGACGTAAAAACTTAGTTTTTAAAAAACGTTTATTTTTACAAACCAAAAATAGATTCTTTCCACAGCGAACTAACTACCTTAACTGCTAACTTAAGACTAATTTCCTCATCTGTT